TTTTGTAGTCGTCTATTGTAGTACCGGTTAAACAGGTTTTCTCGCATCGCGCAAGCGAAGAATTGGATTGTAGTTACGAAAAAAAAAAGTGGCGGACAATTTGAATCATATTTCCGACGACGAAGAGTCAGAATGGTTGGCAAATATAGATCGAAGTTCATTAGATGAATCGAATGAAGGAAAACAGCTTGACGACTAGAAAATTTCTTCATTTAATGAAGAAAATAGAAACAGCAGCACAACAACGCGCCAATTCCGTTCCGCTTCGCATACTTCTGTCACGCACTCCCCGTAAATAAACTTCCACGAAATTCGCCCGCACTGAAATAACAGTTTGGCGTGTTGGATAATAAATAACTTATTAAACGTTTTGTTGTGTAGTATCGCTGAGTATTTTTACTCGTTATTTGTATTTGACTCGCCTTACGGGCTCGTCAAAATACGGCAAAACTCGTAAAAATACTCAGCGATACTACAAAAACAAAACGTCTAATAAGATATATTTATTTTTTGTCCACGACAAATAAAAGAGATCAAAAGAGGATGCCTTGTTGCTCGCCCCAGTCTCTTGTTTAATTCGCTTTTGGCATTTTAGGTGTCCTCAGAGGGGTTCCGAAAACGCTCGTGTTTTGTGTAGGAGGATACCTGTAGCGTTGCATTTGTGTCTTCCGTTGCAGTTATGTCCTCACACCTAATTATAATAACCAATAGAATGTGGTTTCTTCCAATCAAAAGGCGTTGTGAACGTGTCTCTTGCTTTTCACTTCCCAACTAGGCGAGGGATGCAATGCAAAAATATTAATTGTAAGAAGATCGTTAAGATTTCCGCACTTGAAGGTTAAGAATTTCACGGGATATCCTTGTTTCATGAGCTATCCTTGGCGTCGTTTGGGACACTTCGGATTGGTGAAAGATTAAGATTCTGGTTGCGTTTTTAAGTGCGAATTATTGGCGAAATTTTCTTCGATACGTTGGAAAGCTTAGGAAGACGAGAATTTGACATTGCCGCGTACGTGGCTTTGATTCCCTTATTAGTTTGGGGTTCGTTTGTGATCGAAGTTGTGCTTTTCTATCGGAATTAGTACGGTAAGGTAAGGTTTCAGTTGCAGTGAATTTGACAAAAAACGGGGTGAAGTCTAAGCGTTCATCCTCCAAATTAATTAGATCCCAAGTTGCTATAGCCAATCGTTAACCCGATTTTCCATTCTTTTTTTCAATCAATTCTAGAAAAACGGGATGGATTTTGAGAATTCGGCCCACAAGTGGCTAGTGCCCTAGGTTCCCATATGCCATCGTCACCCCAACTTTCCATTTGATCAGTGAATTTCAGAAAAACGAGGTAAATTCTGAGCATTCATGCCACAAGTGGATAACACCCGAAGTTCCCATACGATATCTATACCCCGATTTTCAAATTTTTTTCAACAAATTCTAGGAAAAGGGGGTAAAATTTAAGAATCCATCCTCCCTGATGAAATAGATCCCAAGTTGCTATATCCAGTCTTCAACCCAATTTTCCTTTTCTTTTTTCAATGAATTCAGGAGAAACGGGATTAATTCTGCGAATTCATCCGCAAGTGGCTAACACGCTAAGTTCCCATATGCCATCTTTACCCCGATTTTCCATTTGATCAGCGATCGAATTCGAGCAAAACGGGGTAAATTCTGAGCCTTTATGTTGCAGGTGAATAATACCCGAAGTTCCCACATGCTATCTTTATCCCGAGTTTCCATTTTTTTTCAGTGAATTTGACAAAAAACGGGGTGAAGTCTAAGCGTTCATCCTCCGAATTAGTTAGATCTCAGGTTGCCATAGCCAATCTTTAACCCGATTTTCCATTTTTATGAATTCTAGTAAAACGAGATAAATTCTACGAATTCATCCGCAAGTGGCTAACACGCTAAGTTTCCACATGCCATCCGCTTTACCTGGTTTTTCCATTTCATCAGCGAATTCTAGAAAAACAGGGTAAATTCTGTGAAACTCATCCTTAAGGTCCTTAAGGTGGAATATATCCTATTGACTTGCCATAGCCATCTTTACCCGATTTTCGATTTGATCATTATGTGAATTTGTCGTAAACGGGCTAAATTATGACAAATCCACCCAAAAGTGCCACAAATCCAACAATAATTTAGAAACAGTACCAAAAAAAGAGCAGCTTAAATCAGCGGAACCGTACTGAAATTTAGAGACAGAAGTAAAGAAAGTTCAGCTAAAATCAGCGGAACCGTAATAAAATCACATCACAATCTACTATTTCAAATTTCACAATCTACTACTTCAGATTTTTGCCATACAGCAAAAAAACCTACGATATTCGAAATAAACAACTGAAGGCCAAACTTCTGTGATTGAAGGAAGACTTCGTGACGCAGACAAATTATCAGAACTTTGACCTCTCAGTCGATCTCACCTCCGGCAGATCAGCGAAGCGTCAAAAATATATAATTTTATACCGACGAACCATAATTTATGATCTTCAGCTATTAAAGAAAATAAAACAATTGTGATATGGGTAAAATGTTGTCATTGAAGTCGCAAGTCGAATAATGACGTCTGTAAATAAAGCAAGACTACAAATAAAGCGTGAACAATAACGCATCCTTTGGTCAAAAGTCGCTTTGTTATTTACGTAGCAAGTTGCTCTTCCACGTTTAGGACGTTTAGATTAGAAGAACGATGCGATCACACGGCGTTAACGAGAGAGCGACAGAACTTCAAGGAAAGTTATGAGAGATTGCGAACAGCATATTTTCCTGAGATCAGTTTGAAGTTGCTCACATGTGTCAAATTTTCAACTTACACCGACCCCGTTGAATGAGCACTTTTGCTTGAAGACATAACTGCAACTTAGTCTCTAAACCAGTCCCAAGCCGCGTGTCGCTCTATAGATCACAGGATGTGATTGGCCGTTGTATCACATTACGTCTGGGACAGATCTGCAACAAGAGGATAAGAGCATAAGTGCAACAGTAGGTACCCACATTTCAGGAATACACAAACGCTAAGGCAACGCTACGCATAGCTTAAAAATAGAAGGAAAATGGTTCTAGTTTCGACTCGTGACTGTTCAATGTTTAAAGGAAACCACATGATCTAAGAAAATTACTCTCTGAGGAAGGAGCATTAACACTTTGGTTATCCATTTATCACTGAAATGGAAGGTATTTATCTCAGGTTCCTTTTTAAAATTAAGGGTTGTGATGAGAAAATTGCATGCACGGAAGAAGTCGTAGTTGTCTCAGCAAACTCTACATCAATGATTTTATGTGAGATCATATTAAGTAATCAAATTAAGCGTGGAAATGGCAATAATATCGGTAACTTAGTACGCCATTTGTTTGCCTTTAAGCTCCTTCAGCCTAAATCTGTCATGTCAGTGTTAATAGTGTGGCTCAGGAAATTTAGGGATACTAAAATTTTCTTTCACCAAATGGACAACATAAAACGCAGTCTTGGCCCTTTTTACACTGAGTTCCAGGAATATTTTAAGATCTGTCTAGAACAGCCAACAAATAAGTGAGACTTCATGGTCTGATATAGATATTGAGTTGCAACTTAATTCAAATGATTTCGATGTTTGCACCACATCACTGGATATTCTTGAACAATGAAAACGCTAAACATTTACTTTTCGTGATTATGTTTACTTCATTTTCTTTGTTATCTATTCATTCATTAATTGTCTTAAAGACTCATAATCCGCCGTGTAGCCGAGGATTTTTACACAAACAATTTGTTTTGCTGGAATGAAGTCTTAGCTGTCCTTTTAAAAATAGCTTTAATGTAGCAATTAAATGCAATCAACTTTTGAATATCAATTGCTCTATATTGCTCAAGGAGTACGAAAAATTGTTTACATCCCTTGCTTAACCAGGCCTGACAGAGGCCATTTAAAAGGCCTCTGCAGTTGAATAGACAAGCTTTCCATAGGGCTACCATTCTGAGGTAAATCAATATTCCCCGAAGATGTAGACCAACTGATACCTATACTCAGTAGGTTTATTAAATTTAATATAAAGCACAGTACAGGTAGCTTTATAGATACATAGATCACAATGTGTTTTCCTGTGGCATCTTCCTAGATTTTAAAAAGGCCTTTGATACAGTAGATAATTCTGTTTTGCTCCACAAGTTGTATTATTATGGTGTTAGAGGCATAGCTCACAACTGGTTCACTTCATACTTAGATGGCCAAACTCAAACGACTCAAATTAATCCAAAGATTTCAAGCAAACAGAATTTAACTTGTGGTGTCCCTCAAGGGTCTGTACTCGGCCACTTCTATTTCTGCTATAAATAAATGATATATCTACATGACCTCCAGTAAATTCAAATTTCATTTATTTGCTGATGATACCAATCTGCTATAATGATGCTGATAAAAATCTATGATCTCTAGAGACAATTGTAAGCACAGAATTGGTAAAGGTCAGTGACTGGCTACTTGCTAATAAATTAACACTAAACACCAAGAAATCAAACTATGTTATTTTCCATCCTTATCAAAAAAAGGTTAATTATCAAGTGCCAATCAAATTATTTGATCCCAACACCAATAGCATAGCTCACCTGGAACAACAAGATTACTTGAAATATTTAGGGATACTGATTGATAAAAACCTTAGTTGGAAATATCATATTGACTATGTTGCCTCTAAGATTAGCAGAACTATTGGTATTGTTGCGAGATTGAGACACTTCATCCCGCTGAGTACTTTACTAACTATTTATCAATCCCTGGTTGCTCCGTACTTGACGTACGTATGGTGGCTGAGAACTGCCATTAAAAATATTCAAATTTATAGGAATTCTTCTTGTTATATTTTTTTAAATTTCGATTTATTTCTCATTTTTCTTTTTAAAATAAAAGCAAGTGAAAGAAAAATGTAAAATAGAAATAAAATGAAACCAAAGATAAATGAAATCAAATCAAAATTAAATACTACCGGCCGAGCGCTGCNAAAAAAAAAAAAAAAAACTAGTGGCAGCGCTCGGCCGGGTAGTATTTAATTTTGATTTGATTTCATTTATCTTTGGTTTCATTTTATTTCTATTTTACATTTTACTTTCACTTGCTTTTATTTTAAAAAGAAAAATGAGAAATAAATCGAAATCTAAAAAAAAATAACAAAAATAATTCCTATCAATTTGAATATTTTTAATGGCAGTTCTCGGCCACCATACATATGGCATAATCCCCTGGGGACAGGCTGCGAAGTCAAATTTGTGGAAAATCTTAATCCTGCAGAAACATGCTCTTTGCTTGATGCATTTCTTTCCTGATAGAGATCATATTCTTCCCTTGTTTATTTCTTACAATATCTTGCCAATTAATCTGCTTTACTTTGAGATGGTTTTGATGTTGCCCATGACTCTGCATGTACCTTTAAACCTTAAAAATCTCTTCTGCTCCTCAAATCAACTTCATTCACATAACACAAGGTTCTCCTCAGCTGGTAATTACTATGTTAACCCATCCAGAACAATCGTAATGCGGAATTCTATTTCCAGATTAGGGCCAAATCTATGGAATTCTCTGAAAAACACCACACGTGAGCTCCCTCATAAGAGTTTCAAAACAGAAATCCATAATATGCTTCTGTCTTTACTGGCTTCTGAGTGTATTTACATTGAATCGCCTGCCATAATTCAGAAACTTATATCAACATATCCACGATGACGGTTAATTCTGCGGTTAAAGTTGCTATGGTGGCAGTTATTTATTTATTTATTATTACTATTTTATTCCCTTTTTTTTTTCTTACATTGTAATGTCATTCCATGTATTCTACAAGTGATGCAATATACCTCTATTACTTTTCCACTTGTTATGTTAATACTTCAAGGGCTACTTTTTAATTATTTTTTCTTCATACCTTGTCCAAATTTGACAGGCTGTAATGCAAACCTATTCTCTCCTGTTGCTCCCCGCCTTGACAAGCCAATGCTATCTGTAGGAAGCGACCATTTTCGTATTTTTCTTTTGTCAAATAGTAAATAAAGTTGTAGTAGTTGTAGTTGTATTAGAACATTCATCTACACTTAGTTATTGTTGAACAAAGCGGTTGAATAAAACAACTGTCAATAGAATAAAAAACAACAACAATGGTAGCTAATTTCACTGTATAACAACAGCAAAGCACCAGGAACTATTTTGTTAAAGCAGGATACTTTTACTAACTGAAAAATTTTCAGTAGAAATTATATTTCTGAGGGCATGTCAAATAAGCTCCTTTGTGATATGCATGGCATGGCTACACTGATAATTTCAAAGAGAAAAAAGTTGGAACACGTACATATATTTACTTATAGTCACTGAATAGCATGTTATACTGTTTTCTAATTCTTGGGTCTAAAAACAATTTGTTAATTAGTTGATTACTTTTTCTAAATTGTTATCTTTAAGAAGAGTACGACATTTTTTAATTTCGAAGACATTTTTCGATGTTACGATCATCGTCAGTTACAGAATATTTATAATTAAGTGACAAAAATTACATATTTGAGTGAGTAACAAAGTGTTGGAAAGAATATAAAGCCTAAAGTGTAAGCATCATGTTGACATGATGAACTTGTTGGTTAAATTTTTCTAAATTGTGATGCTAAATATAAGTTACTTCTATGTTTTCTACTTGATATCAATCCCGTGGCTGGCTGCCCTTCATTTCAACTATTATAAACCTTCAGTGAAAGGAAAAAAAGGTGAATGATCAAGGCCAGCCATGTCTATGGCTGGTCTTGTCTTTGGGTAACCTTCCCAAAGTACAAGGATGTAGAGGGAATGCCAAGAAAGGCCAGGTTAGCATTGAATTATGGTGAAGTTTTGTTTATTGCATAGCTCATGCACATACATACAAACTTATGCAAAGGCTACCCAGTAAAAACTAATGTGCAACATGTGTGATCAGACTCTAGTTTTGTTGTCTCAATCCATTATCTTGATGCACTCTGTAATTAATTGACATTTAAAGAGAAGATATTGAAAAAGTGGCCAATGAGCTGAAAAATAAAATGCCAGGTGCTTTAAACTTGGTGCTTGACAAGGGGTTGAAAGAGCAAGCCATACAAAAGCATTGTGGCCAGAAGCAAAAGGAAACTGTGATTTGTTCATCATGGATTTCTTGACAGTGTTCCTTCTAATGTTTTTCTTACTACATCCATCCATTACTGGTAACCCCAAAACTAATAGATAAACAAGTGTTCAAATAAATAAACAAATTAAGCAATAGTAGTATTTGAATAGTCCAGCTTCACCAAAAGTTCAGAAACATGATTACCCTATAATGAATTAGTTTTATCTTGGTTCAGATTTATTTCCTCTGATGTAATTTGGGGAAGCACATTCAAATATATTTCATCAGGTATGGGTTCAACACGAAGAAAGATTTGCATCATGAA